TTCTAGCTGTGGGTGCAGCCAAAAGCTGGAAAACTTTTAAATCTGAAAGGGCCCTACTACTAAAATACAGACAACCACAAATCTAGTGCTTGTAACTTTTTTTTTTTGATGGGTAGAGGGACAAGAGAGGGAACAAGGAGCTGGCCTCATGGGCTGTAAACACACACATGGTTGTGCTATGCCTTAGAAAATTCAAAAGAAAAAAAATATATAGTCAAAAGGAGACATCACTCAAAATGGTATCTTGGCTTTTTTGTACATCTCTCAACCCGGGCAATGAAACCAAGAGAAACCAGTGTCAGTTCTGTCCAGCCAACAGCATTTGCTACTTTGCCGAATGAGGCTTACCTCCCCAAATTCTCTCCCACCCTCCCCGTTATGCACCAAAGTCAGCAGAATTTAGCATTCCCACAAACCAAAGCCCCTCAGAGAGGTCAAGCAAGGCCCAGACCTCACACTGGGTCTGTGGACCGAGGTGAATGGTACCTGCACACCCAGGAATTGTTTGCAGCAGGGGAATTGAGGCTGGAACACAATTTGCACCAACCCAGCTCTAGTGCATTCAGTGCACCATGAGTTTTCGGTACTCTGCCAGCATGGAAAGCCTTTGCTAATGCAGCAAGATGAAGTTCACTTGCTCACTGTCTCTCAAATAAGTGATTAGTATTTCATGACTAGAGTACCCAGTCAAGCAGAAAAGCCTCTTAGTTTGGAAGAGCTATTCAGGGTTCAAAGAAGCACAAAGGCATAAACATTATGGGTCCAGTCTCTCAGATGGCTGAGCAGCACCTCGCGTTTGGGCCATACATATTGCTGACTTCTGAGAGTCTTGCAGTATGAAGTGCTTGACCCCCCCACTTACAGTGCCAGCTCCTAGAGGCCCAGGATTATGTAAGATTTTCTGCCTTGACTTGAACAAACCCACATTTCTAGTTGCAGGTGCAGACAAAAGCTGGAAAAAAGGTTGAATCTGAAATTGTCAAACCAAAGTTAAGTATATAAAGGCAAAAACTAACCAAACAAAACACAAGATAAGTAACAGGTAATTAGTGGGTAGTTACCTTTCAAGTAAAAAACCCAACATTAGTTTGTAAGAGCTCCACAGGGTTGTGAGAAACCCAACAGGAGTGGAAAGGCTTAGGAGATACTCAGTCTTCACTTGAACTAAAATGCATTTCAAGCTCTGGGTGCAGACAAAAGCTGAAAAAAAAACTCCTTTAAACCACAAGGAATGTCAAAACCAGGAAAACAAGTAGCAAGGCAACCTTTGACAAGCACTAAATTTGTGGTTATCTTTTCTTTTCTTTTTTTATTTGGTGGTGAGGGGGATTTGAGGGAGAAGAGAAGACCTGGCTCCATCAAACACAAGCTTGCATTATGCACTAACCAACTGTAATCTAAGTGTTGCGATAGTCCAATGTGCAAATCCCTGAAAACATGAGCTTGGGTTTTTCCATATTCCTCTTAACTTAGGCAGTGAAACAAAGAGAAATCAGTCTCAGTTCTGTACAGTCAGTTTATTCTGGAGTATTGCCATGTGCACTTTTGATTCCCAAAATGCAACCCCACGCCTGCAAAGGCCCAGACCAGAAATTTGGGGCACTAGAGCACACCTCCCTGCTCAGCCGGAGCAGACAGCTTGGGCCAAGTTTAGCCCACCCACCCTAGCAGGGGAGGTGCAAAGTATCCTGAGATATTGGGGGACTGTTAGTTAACTTAAATCTGGAGGGGATTTGGGACAAGTTCAATAAGCCAATTTAACTTAAATCAATTAAGTCTGATACTGCATCCGTCCAGGTTTATCTTAAACTGGTTTCAGCCATTTTGAAAGCAGTTTATGTGCACTGAACTTCTGTTGTGTTACAGATTTGAACTGGTTTCTTATGACTTACAGTGGGGGTTGTGTGTGATTTCTGTCCCTAGCCTTGGACTGAGGTGATTACCACCTGAGCAATCAGCAGGTGAATTAAGGCTGGGACACATTCTGTACTACAATAGGTATAAGTAAATCCAGCTCTGGTTTATTTTGGGTGTTGTGTGCTTTAAGTACTCACTCTGAGGCACTGGCAGTCTGGCTGTTGGCCGCCTCCTCCCAGTGGCTTTGTCCTAAAGGCCCTGTTAGCCCCTGAAGCCAAGTAAAAGAGCCAGCTGTTGGGCTGCTCTCTGCCAACATGGAAACCCATTGGTGATACACAAGGAGACAGAGTTCAGCAACTCACTCTCTTTCAAACAGCTGGATAATATTTCTGTCCAGCAAAGTAGCAAGCTCCCTTCATTTGTTAAGGCTCCTAAGAGATGTGAAGCCCGGGGGCAGCCTTAAGGGGTTGATATTTTTCAAAAGCCTGAGCAACTATGGCAGACAAGGTTCTTTGGGTAAAACTGATATCTTTTATTAGACCAACTCAAATAGTTGGAAAAAATTCTTCTTAGCAAGTTTTTGGGTATAAATATCCTTCGTCAGGCTGAGGAAGCTGAGCAGCTATGGCAATTCTGGCTATAAGTGTTGCTAAGTTTTGTGAGTTTCGCGGTATGTAGTGACATTTCATAGACATTAGGGCTGGAAGGGACCTCGGAAGATCATTGATTCCAGCCCCCTGCCCCAGGGGCAGGGAGTCAGCTAGGGTCAAAGGATCCCAGCAAGATAAATGTCCAATTGACTGTAAGAGGAGTCCAGAATAGGTGCTTATACCACCTCCGGTGGCAGTCTGTTCCAGGCCTTGAGGGCTCAGACAGTAAAGAAGTTCTTCCTTATGTCCAGCCTGAAATGGTCTTGGAGGAGTTTGTGACCATTTGACCTTGTCATCCCCTGGGGCGCTCTGGTGAACAGTCATTTCCCCAGATCCCGATGTACACCCCTTATATACTTCTGTTTTTCTTACTCAATAATCCTATGATTAAGTGAGATTCTCAGACTTCACTTACAGAAAAATGAATACAGTTCTAGCCCTGCATGCAAACAGGAACTTAAGAAAACCCACCCCTTTTGAGTCTGAAAGGATCAAAACTAAGAAAGAAAAATCAACACCACCACAGGTTGCATGCCTCTTGAATTACTGTGATTTTTGTTTGTTTGGTTGGAGGAGGGAAAGTGAGGGAGAAGTTGTAACCAAAGACAAGCTCATTATACATTAGAGAATTTAAATGAAAGTGCTTTGATATTACAAGAGGCAGACAAGGTTCCTTGGGTGAATTTGATATCTTTTCTTAGACCAACCCAAATGGTTGGAGAATAGTTATTAAGCAAGCTTTCCGGTTCAAAAACCCTTCGTCAGGCTCAGGAAGTTTCAGCAGTTGGTGTGTGCTCTTCCTGGATGGAATGAAAAGTAAAGAAGCCAGGGGCTGGGCTGGGGGGCTTGATATTACAAGGTACACATCACTCAAAAAACCAGCCTGGCCTTTTCACACTTCTCTTAATATGGGGGATAAAACTAAGGGGGACCAATGTCACTTCTGTTCAGTCAGACCCTTATTAGTAGTGCCACATACACTTGAAATCTTGCTGAGACACGTACAGCTTAATAAATAATTTGGGGGGGAGGGGTTCATTAGCTGCCTTGTATACCAACCCCATGCACACATGCCCCTGCTCCTGTTGCTCACCTAAAGCAACTCGGTCAAATTTCATAGACCTGCTCACTGAACAACACACCCGCTCAGAGGGCAAAGTCCAAAGCAGGTCAGCATCACCGAACATGGCAATAATAATAGCATCAGTGGAATGTAACCTGACGCACAGGTCTGTACCACAAGTACAAGCCTCTCCAGTTCCGGGTTGTTTGGGATATCACATGTTTTAGGTACTCACTGTTGAGCCACCAGCAGCCAGGCTATTGGGGAGCTCTTTACAGTGGCTTTATCAGATTCTCTGAGCAAGGTAGGGTATGGAGCCAGGTAGAGATGGAAGCAATAACTAACTGCTTAGGGTCAGCTTGCTGTGCCCATCTCTGGGCTTCCCTGCCAGAGGCTTCTGGACCACTCAGTACCAGCATACGAGAGCTATTGCTCGTTAGAGTCAGCCTGCTTCACCCCACCTCTGGGCTTCCTTGACAGAGGCTGTTGGGCTGCTCTCTGCCAGCATGGAAAGCGGTCTATAATGCAGCAAGAAGATGGAGTTCACTGGGTCTCAAATAAGTGATTAGCATTTTGTGACTAGAGTACCCAGTCAAGTAGAAAAGCCTCTTAGTTTGTAAGGATTCTTCAGGGTTCAAAGAAGCACAAAGGCAACATCATGGATCTGGTTTCTCAGAGGGCCGAGCACTGCAGCAACTCAAGCTCCGGCCATACAGTGTGCTGACTTCTGTACTCAGCAAGAAGACAAAGTATAGTATTAATAACTGTGTCCCTCAGACATGTAGTAAGTATTTCATAGTTAAAGCAGCTTGTAAAATAGAGACTCCCATTACTTTGTAAGGGCTCCACAAGGCTCAAAGAAGCTAGGGCCAGGACTAGAAAGTGTCATGGGTCTGATTTCTCAGAGGAGAGAGTAGCACTTGGAGTTTTGTCTGTAAGAGTTACTAAGTTTTATGCATTTCCTCAAAATGTAATGAAGTTAGCTCTCCTGGAACTGAGGCTGTAAGAGGAAATATGACTGTATGAGGTGCTCAGCCTTCACTTAGAAAAGTGAAAAAAGAAAAAACACATTTCAGACTGGAAAACATGTGAACCCTAAAGGGTCAAATCAAATGACTCAATAAGGACAACTATATATGAACAGCCAGAGTGCCACAACTAAGAGCATTACAAAGAAATCAAATAAATAAGTTATAGATGCACATCCCTCACAGAGCCCCTTTGTCCCCTAAACAGGTTAGTAGTTTCATCAGAACTCCTGCCAGTCAAATCCCCTACTCAAGAGCCAGAGACAAAGCACAGACCTCATATTAGTTCTTGGGTGTGAGATGAACAACAAAAAAATATTTTAAGAAAAATTCAGCCCAGGACATGTTTGTACCCCAACAGGAACAAACCTAACCAGTCCCTATAGAGTATTATGTACTCACTCTGAGGCACTCCTACTATCACCCCTGGAACAGCAGGAGCTCCCCTTCTTGGCTTGGGCTTATAAGCGAAGTCAGTTGCTCTCAGAACAGCAGCATGTGACTCTCAGTACAGGTGAAAGCAAGAAGTGGTTAGGTTCTGCCTCATATGCCTCAGCTGTGTGCTCTCATGACCAATGCTTTTGTGTTCTGTCCTTTCCTAATACAAAAGGTGGTGGAGTTCACTAATTAACTGTATTGTTCACAAAAATGATTCATGTTTAGCAGTGAGAATAACCTTCAAAGTAGAAGACTGTCTAAGATGTAAAGGCTGGATTTATTGTCTGGGGAATTGTCTTATAATTTCCTTTTACACACACACAGACACACACACGTCTCTCTAAGGCTGAGCCAAACTTAGGAAAATTTGGTATGTTTGATTTCTCAGATCAGCACCTGGAGTTCTGGCAATAAATGTCATTTTTTTCTCCCTATTTATTTATTTATTTATTTGATTCATCCCATAAAAGGCTCGGGGCAGCTTACGGTAGCAGAAAATAAGTCTTTATATCTATAATACATCTATTATGTGTATATATATAATTAATATTATATTATATATAATTAATATTATATATATATAATGACTTATTTGCTGTTCCTGTAAACTGCCCTAAGCCTTTTGTCAAATAAATAAATAAATAGGGGGAAAAAACCAACATTTAATGCCAGAACTCCAGGTGCTGATCTGAGAAATCAAACGTATAATATTTTCCTAAGTCTGGATCGGCCTTCTTAGAGAGACAGAGGGGGGTGTGTGTGTGTGTGTAAAAGGAAATTATAAGACAATTCCCCAGACAATAAATCTGGACTTAACCCCCTCCATCCTTCCTCATTGCCAAAAGCCTGATCAAATATGAAGGTCTTACAGCACTTCTGAAAAATGTCCAGGCTCAGGCATTGGCAGGCCACAAAGGGGAGTGAGTTGTAAAATTGAGGAATGACTTCCAAGAACAACTTCCCACATATTTTTGTCAGATGTCCTTGGTGCACAGATAGAACTTGCAGGAGGTTGCCTCTGGTTATCCTTAGGGGTCAGAATGGGACATAATGGTGAAAGTGCTCCATTTCATATATAGGGCCCACATCATTTGGGCTCTAGAGAGCAAAACCATCCCTTTGAATTGCACCCAGAAAGCTATAGAAAGCATGTGAAGACTCTGCAGCACTGGGATAATTCGCTCCTGGCATAACACTCCTGTCAGGAAGGTGGGCTGCCACATTCTGCACCAGCTGCAGCTTTTGAAGGGTCTTCAACAGCAGCCCCATGTAGAGCAAACTGCAGTAGGGCAACTTTTATGAGCCCTGCTTTATGTAGTGGCTTTTCTCTCTCCCTCTCAGAGAGAACTCTCCTAGAGTCCAGCGATTATGTGAGAGCCTCAGCTTGCATGCAAATAAAGGAAATTCTGTGTCTAGGTATGCACAAAAGCTGAAAAACTTTTGAATCCTAAATGTTCAAAACTTAGAGAGCAAATAGAGAAGCACAAATTTGGTTCTCTTCATACATTTATTTAATTTAACCAGTGAAATCAAGGGAGACAAGTCTTTGCCTAAAGGAAAATACATACTTATGTACTTTACTAAATAGGGGCCTCTGTTGCAGAAGAGGCATCTACCTCGCAATAATAATCATTGCCATTGATAAGGGTACCTGCCATCCCAAGGATCTAAAAATATTTCCTAAGCAATATATTTCCTAAGAAATGCTGCTGCTTCTGGGGTGTGGTTGTTTGACAACACAGAAAATCTGTATAAGGGGAATTTTAGTGAGGTGAAATCTGGCCAACCTACTGTGACTCTCACCCTTACTTTTCTGAAAAGTATCAGGGCATGATTCTTGTAAGCCGTAAGTAACTGAAATATGAAGGATACAGGTGCAAGCAGTAGCATAATTTTGTCTTTAATGGAGACAGAATTAAAACAATAGCTTTAGAGTGAAGGTACATTATACTATTCCATTGCATCTTCACATCCCATCTTCACTTTTTATCACTATTATTTCTATTGCAGTATTACACAAAGACCTCAGTGCCATACAGGCTTTCATTGTGGGCTAGGTACTATATAAACAGTGAGTGGGAGTCTGGCCTAAGGAGCTTACAATTTTAATAGGGTAGGAAAAAGAAAATGTGCTATCCTCATGTAAAAGGAGGAGAAGAAAGGGAATTGATGACTTGACTAGGTCACAGTGGAAGTCTATGGCAGACCTGAGGATTGACTCATGCTGCTTTTCACTTAGTCTGATTTTTTCCAAACATGTTCCCACTGAAGTGATCATTCTTAAGCATGTGCTGTGCAGTCCCTCAATATCCTTGTTGGTCCCTAACCCCTTTTTCAGACAAAGTCTGGAGCTGGCCTTCAGCAAAGGTCCCTTCTAATATACAGACTGGTGACAAGTTTGATCACTCCTAATATGAAAAAAAATACCCTGGAGGAAAAATCAGGTTTAGTAGATAATGTGTGTTTGATTTCAATCCCCTAGCTGCCTGGGCTAGTGAAAAAGTGACCTGTAAATCATTCCCAAAGCACTTGTAGATAAACTGTAAACTAATTAATATCAGAATTATTGATGCATAGCAAATATTTTGCAAGGGATTTATATGTAACCCTGTCACCATTTTACACATCACAGCATTGATTTATAAATCATTGAACAAATGGTGGCATGTCCAATAAATACTTTATGAATGTTTGCCAACAAGTTATCGTACATAATGTGCTATAAATACATTGCAAATACTGTGCAAGTTATTTATAAATTACATTTTACATACTATCTATTATGGCTTAGAAATGCACTCGTTCTTTTACCACCTAGATGAAACTTGTCAAAGGAAGGTTGCATTTCACTTAGGGTTTAATGGCAGGAAATGTGTAATTCTTCTCTCCATCACCAGCTATTAAATAAACAAGCACCTTCACTCCTCCTATGCTACCTCTCAAGCTTAGGAGTGGCACCTCACAACTCTCCTTAAATCCTCCCTTAAAATGCTCTTTTATTGCCAAAGACTTGATTTATCAAGTCTAACATCAGCGACTATTGTACTCTGTGCTCTGTCATTAGCCTGGAGCCACCTGCTCTCTCTTCTCTTCTACATAGATAAAAGATCTTTGAGGGCAGAGACCATCTTCTTGTTCTGGTTTTGAACAGGGTCCTGGCTCATGACTGGAGTTCCTAGGCAGAAGAAATGCAATAAATAAGGGTTGAATCTCTCCAGGCTTGACTCATCCTTTTTCTACTTCTAGCTGCTTCTTTCTACTTCTAGCTGTAAAGTTCATGCCCCAGCTGTTTTGTGACTTTGGCAGCTGGAGAATAGCTAGGGAGTATGCCTCACCTCACCTCAGTCCTACCTACTGGCAGTGCCCTCATAGGATACCTTGTTCTGGGGGTGCCCTGATATTAAATATTAATATTTAATATTAAAGCCAGGAAAGACCATTATGATAGCATCGAGGCAGAGAACTTCATCCAGTAACTTCTGCACCAGCTGGGTTACCCCTACTTTTGGCTTCACTAGAGCAGGTCAGAAACATCTTCAATGGAATAATAGTCCTTGGAAGATGGAAATCCATTTACATTGAAATGCATTGCAAAATCAGGTCATTTGTGTCAGAATTTTGCTTCAGCAGAAGCCAGAAGAGAACCCCAGCTGTCAGACTGTCCTGCTTCAGAACAAAATGTTTTTCTTCCCATTTAGAAGGGACTTTTTATTTTTTGCATGATTATTTTGAAACACACCAGATACCACAAGGCAACCCACCGATATGTTAAAACAAACAAGCCAATTTTCAGCCCCAAATGACTCTGAAACACAAGTAATATAGCCACCTTTCTGGCAGACAGCATTCTTCCCCTTCCTTCTTCCTCTACTGCCCTCCATGCCTCAGAGGAAAAGCTTATTAGTGCGCATCCACGCCCAAGCTAAGATGGTTGCATTACCTTCGCCGTAGGAGGTAACCCACACAGTGTGCCTTGCTGTGGTATTCCCTGGCGCACTACTGAGGTGCTGTAGATACGAAGCCCCCTAATCCCTCTCATGGAATATTAATTTTTCTAAATGACTGTGGTGTGCTTGACTCCCATGCTGTGCTACAGTGATCCCTTTTAAAGTCAAAATCCCAAGAGAACTTTGGAAGAAAAAGCTTTTTTTCCCTCTTCATCAATGTATCAAGTTCCCCTAATTCCTACCATGCTAAAAGTACTTTCTTAGCAAAGAAGAGTGCTTCAGATCACTGGGGAGTCTGGAGCACTGATTGGAAGGTAGTCACAAACTCCCATAGCTGTTGCATTAACATAGATTGAACTGATTGTTTCTTTTTAAGCATGTAAAACAGCCCAAGGGAGATCATGTTTTAAATATCTATTTTTGTATTATTATTATTATTATTATTTATGGTTGATTAATGTCCCAGTCCTACCCAGAAGCTTTCATTGAGATCAACAGCCTATTGTGCTAGGCACTGTACACACCTTCAGAGGCCATCCCAGCCCAAACTAAATAAGAAGTAGACAAGTACAGACTAAATAAGAACTGCAGACAAAAGATAACAGGGGAAACTGAAACAACAGGATCCTCCCAAGGTCCTGTAGCAAGGCAGTAGCAGTGTTGAAAAGAGAACACAAGTCTCTGGAGTGACACTCGCAACACGCATACAAATACACACAAAGAAAGAAAGAGAAAGAGAGGTAACAAAGAATGCTGAGAAAACAATGTTTTTGGCATCTGCTAACTGTACCTTCTCAAAAAAACCTCTCCTGTTACCTGTCGTTAAATCACAGAATGAAAACAAACAATAAATTTAATATGTTGCTCACTTAAGACTTAAACCTGCCTTAATAATTTCTTTGGGTTGATGTTTTTAAAGCCGCTAAAGAGCCTCATCTCTTTGCAGCTAGCAGATAATGTGCAAATCCATCTCTGCAGTCAACAGAATGCCAAGAAACTGCAGAGTCAGCACTACTGGGGAACATGCCAGCTATGTTTAGAGGAAAGAAATGTGGAATATCCCTGTCCTCA